TGGATATACAGTATCTCTTTGACATCCTGCTTTCAATCCTTTTGCGAATATGTCCAGAAGTGGAAATTCTTGGTCATATGGTAATTCGATTGGAATTGTTTTTAGGAATGGCCATGTTGTTTTCCACAGTCCTTCACCTTTTGCATACCCACCAGCAGCGCACAAGGGTATAATGTCTCACTCCTCACCAACACTCAGTATTTTCAGCTTTCGTGACAGTAGCTCTTCTAGAGGGCATGAGATGGTATCTCACCGTGGTTTTCGTCTGCATTTCCCTTATCTTGGGTGATGCTGAGCATCTTTTCATGTGTTCATTGGCCATCTGTATATCTTTTTTGGAGAAATATCTGCTCATACATCTTATTGTTATAACGTGTATTTCTATACTAATGATCTTGGCCACCTCCTCATATGCTTCTTGGATTTTGGGGTTTCCTCTCCCAAAAATTACCTGCTTGTGTCCCTTGTCCATTTACTTTTCTTGCTAATTTTCAGGAGTTCCTTGTATATTGAGGCTACTAATCTCCTGTCAATTTTAGACTGCACATAACTTCTCTCATTTTGCCATGTGTCATTTGGAACAGATCTATTTGATTTTAACATCATGAAATCCCCTCTCTTTTTTCTGCCTTATGGTTTCTGCTTTGAATTTTTGTCTAAGAAATCTTTCACTCCCTTTGGGTCTCAAGTATGTTCCACTTTTTTTTTTCTGGCATGTTATAATCTGGTCATTCGTGGTAGTCGGTGTGAAAAACAATCTCATATAATCTGGATGCTCAGATGATGGATTAAAGAATCATTCATGAACAATGTGAAAAGAATGTGAAACAAATTGAAAAGAATCATTCACTGATTCTTTAATCCATCATCTGAGCATCCACATTCTATGGGATCACATTGCTTTTCTCCATATACTAAGTAAGAGTTTTTCCAACAAGAACAGCAACTCTTTCCCACTGACTTGCAGTGCACCTTTTATCATAGATGAAGTTCCCCTCTAACCAGGGATCTCCCTCTCCATGCTGTCGGTGAGTTGTGTATTGGTTCACTGTCACCATACTGCTTAAGACAACACCAGCACCTTTAGCGTGTACCCCACTATCTGGAAGAGCAAGCTTCCTGCCTACCCTCCTCTGACTTAGCCATCTGTGGACCTTTATCTCTCCTCACATGTTTCAGAGTAAGTTTCTAAAACTATAATCTTTACTGGGACTACAGTGAAGTGATAGCTGAATCGAGGGAGAACTGAATCTCCATATATTAGGCCCCAGGAGCAGGAGATGAATTTACTTGGGGTGTGTCTATACCCCGTTCTACTCCCACCCACCAATGAATCAGCAATGGATGGAGTTTGCTAAATCAATGCTAGGAAGGAGATCTCCAGGGAGGAAGACAGAGTGGGCCTGGAATATCCTTCTGTACCACTGCTTCCAAATTCCCAGCCATGCCTGGCAAGAGGGAGGAAACATTCTGTCATAGAATCTATATTTCCTGGGTGGATGAAACCCAGGTATCCTAGAGGAAGCAGGTACGGTGGGAAGTTGGGTCAAGGGACGAGGGGACACAGAGCAACAGAACTCCTGGCTTTCCCTAGCATGAGCCAGTCCTCCCAGTCAGCATCTTGAGGAGGCACCAGCTACTTCCCCCTCGTCCTGGGCGTTGGGAGGATTGATGTGCTTCACTCAGCTTGTCTACCTCATGACTTGACTGGGCCGCACCTCAACGTTGTGAAGTAAGTAGACAGATTATCATCCCTATTCAAGAGAAGAGAAGCCATCTCCTGCTAAGGTCCATGGAGAAGGAAGTTCACTCATCACTTGACAAACATTTATCAAGAGCCCACAGTGCAGCAGCTTCTCGGCCCTGGGAGCTGGCAGAGACCAGACAAATGGTCAAATGGTTCCAGTCAGCATTAGATACCATGGTGGACATGTTCTTGCAGGCAGCACCATTTCCTGAGAGACAAACCCCGAGCACTCCATTCCTGCTAGGCTGGTCAATCGTGGTGCCCCCTCACCAAAGACAGGAAAGGGGGCAATTGTCTAGGTCCAGCCACTATGGCAGGACATGCCACACCTAGCCACACTGACTGACTGAGAGGGCAGGAAGACGATCCTTGCAGCACCAGAGTCTTCCCTGGGGTTTCACATGTATGTTGGGGGACAGAAGTTTCTTTCTACTAAGGTGGCTGGAGGAGGGTGGAAACAAATCTTGGGCTGCTGGCAGTCATCTTTTGAAAGGAAAGGGGCTTCAGGAAGAAGACAACCAAACAGAGACAGGCAGTATGGACACATGAGAGAACTAGAGGCCTGCCAATGTTGCTTTAGTACTTGGGTCCAGCCATGCCTGAAGTTAACACATTCATACTTTCCATGTGAGCCAACCCATGATCTTTTGGCTTACGCTCATTTGAGTTGGAATAAGTGGAAACAAGGAGTCCCACTGGACAGAGCCCCTACCAACAAATCCACCTCTCTGCTCCCTCTAACAAACTTTCACCCCTCAGGTTCCACCAGACTCTTTTAGGTTGGGGCTTATTTTGATCATAATTCCCATTTCTCAAAATGTCTTTGAATCCAGATTCCGCCAGTAAGTATCCTTTATTCCTTATTGATTTATGACATCTGCTAGAAGACCAAGCCTGCCTTCTGTGTCATCCTCCAAGTTGGTGATGAAGACATCGATGTGAAGGACACAGCAGTGTAGCATGCCGCACCCTCCTCCCTCAGGCTGTCAGCCCTTGAATCTTTCACACTGTCCCTGGTCTTCACAGAATCCCAGATTCCCAATATTAGAAAGGACCTCAGGTTTCCCACTCACTCTATCCCAGCCTCTTGGCTCACGTTTTCATCTATAGAGGTGGTGCCAGCCTTGGCCAGAGGAAGGTGGCCTGTGTGGTGAGTGTCCGTTGGCAGCTTCCCAGCACAATGTTCCCATTCTCCTGCCACTAGTGCCCAAACTGGACTTCTCCGTTCTAGGCTGTGGTTTGCTGCAATGTTTAGCAAGACTTTATGCAAATGTCAAAGGGACATATGGCACTCTCCAGGTCTCCCGTCCAGCCTGCTTCTTCTTGGACTTACCCACTGTCAACTGATGTCCCATGGCACGCTTCACAGAAAGATAAAAGCTGTCACATGGGACTTGCTGCTTATCCACCACACCTCCCTGCTATGTACAGTTATGTGTCTATCCTCAAAGCTGGTTCCAGGCAGGTGTGGTGGCTCAGGCCTATAACCCCAGCACACTGGGAAGCTGAGGCAGGTGGATTGCTTGAGCCCTGGAGCTCCAGACCAGCCTAGGCAAAATAGACCAGCCTGGGCAACCTTGTCTCTCCAAAAAATTAGCCGGTACAGTGGTGTGCACCGTGGTCCTAGCTAGTTGAGAGGCTGAGGTAGGAGGATCGCTGGAGCCCAGGAGCAGAGTTTGTAGTGAGCCAAGTTCATGCCACTGCGTTCCAGCCAGGGCAGCAGAGCAAGACCCTGTCTCCAAAAAGAAATAGAGCTGGTCCTCCTGTTTGGTTGGGGGGACTCCCCTGCTGCAGTTATCCCCTTTCCTTCTTCTATTGTTATACTGAACCAAGCATAGAAATTAACACCAAGACAAAAGTATGCCAAATTGCAGGGTCTTTATTATGCTGGCGACCACAGAGGACTCACGTCTCTCCAACCTGTGGCGTCGAAAGGAGGGTGCCAAGACTTTTTATAGCCGAAAAACCACCTTGGGAGTGTGGGTGAGGAGCAGGGATGGGGATGAAAAGGCTTCAGACATTCCGAGGACTAGTGGATTCTGTAAATCACCTCCTGGGCGGAGACGAGGGCTCCGGATATTCCAAGGGCCAGGGGACTCTTGTCATTCCGTTTGCTACTTAAGTGGTTTACAGAAGTCAAGATAAACATTTCTTTACACATTATCTGGGTAAAGTGGAAATCACAGACCTTAGTTACTTATTACAAGTCGCGGGAGCCAAGATGGCATTAGTTTGGGCTGCTTAGTCTGGCAATTGCCGGTAAGCAAAGGCTACCAATTCTGGCAGTTACTGATAAGAAAAGGTGAGCAGCTTTACACAGTGGCTAGTTTGCAGAGCAAACTAGCCATTTTATTTACAGTAGCCAAGGCCAGCAGTTATTGTGAGGAGAATGGGCAGCTGTTACAACATATTTTTAAAAAATAGCTTTTTCTTTTATAAAATGATGTTGTTCAGGCTCTAACTCTAGGCCAGCTACGGCACAATATCACACTATCACTAATTCTTCCCTGCTATTCTACCTTTCCTGGCAGTTTGCAAAGAGCAGGGTGTGTTCAGCCTGGGAGAGGCTTGGTCCTCTTGTGTCCTTTAGAATAAATGGAGGCAGATGCTCTGATTCTGATGTCAGGCAGCTGCACCATGAGGTTTTGGGAGAGTAGCAGCGTCTGGTGGGCATGAACTCTGGGTCAGAACTTACAGTCCCAGCACCGCTACTTCTCAGTATTCTCTACCATGAAGCAGTTCTGTAGCTTCCCCGAGTCTTACTTTCCTCTTTTGTAAAATAACGATAGTGATGGGGCCTGCCCTAGGGAGCACTGGGCAGCCCTCCAAGGTGACTTGGGGCTGAGCATCGCCCTTGCTGCACCTCAGCCCCGGTGTCACTCCCAGGCTGTTCAGCTGGGCACTGCTGCGGTTTCTGAACTGCGTCTTCCTGAATGTGCAGCTCCACAAGGGTCAGATGAAGATGGTCCACAAGGCAGCCCAGGCGGTAAGGCCCGCCCTCCTTTGGGATGGGGATGGCAGGAGCAGAGAAGCAGAGGAGCAGAGGCTGGGCCAAGCCCTTAAGTCAGGAGTAGTCCCATTCTGGTCCTGCTTCCTGGCCTCTGCTCCCAGCCATACAGCAGCGCAGTCCCCATCAGCTGGTGGGAAAAATCCACTGCTCTTTGCCGACCTTCCCTTTGTGTCTCACGGTCTTGTTCCCACGGGGCTTCCTCTAATGTCTTTTCATCATGGTCTTAACAAACATTACGTCAGTGCGTCAGTGCAGTTACCTTAGAAGTTTTGTAAAGGCTCCTTTGCTTTTGGGAAATGTGCCCAGAGGAAGAACTCTTCAGCTGAACCCTCCCTCCCTCCGGGGGTGCCCTGGGTTTTTGGCTGCTTGTGTCCTCAGAATGGGGCAGGCTGGCACTTCCCTCTGGCTCTCCCTGGAGCAGGGCTCACCGCTTGTCCTCTTCTCTACTCACAAAACCCTCCTGGATGGGATCCTGCTGCCCTTTGTGCTGCTCTCCCAGGGCCTGGGTGTGCTCCGTGTGGCCTGGGACTCCCGTGTCTGCTCCCCTGCCCTCAGGTAAAAACCTTGTGTCTGTGGACACACATGGGAGAAGTTGCAGGCTGGGGTCGGGTGTGTATTGGGGTGTGTTGGCGGCAGCTCCCTGCCAAAGTCCCTCTTCCTGGCTTCTCTGTTCCCAGCCACACAGCAGTTTAGCCTGTGGGGCTTAGATGGAGGGGTCAGCCACAGGCCCTAGGGCCATGGCTTTGCCTCAGGGTATTCAAGTAGGACACAGTCTATTCCTGGTGGAGCTGAGACTCTTGCTAGCTCTTTATTCATTCTCATCTTCAGAGCCCCTTGCCTTATCAGGCTTTGTCCTATGTCCCACAGAGCTCTGCTGAGGAAGCTTGGGGGGCTTTTCCTGCCCTCAGAGGCCAACCTCTCCCTAGACAGCTCTGAGGGGCTCCTTGCAAGGGTTGTGGTCCAGGCGGTAAGTGCCCCCAGTGGTTATGTATGGGCCAGGCTAAGGGGACAGGGATCTGCTTCTGCACTGGCCTTAACACCCCTTCTGTCCCCTCCTATTCTAGGTCATAGAGCAGCTGCTGGTCAGTGGGCAGCCCCTGCTCATCTTCCTGGAGGAACCTCCTGGGACCCTGGGGCCACAGCTGTCAGCCGTGGGCCAGGCTTGGCTGGGATTTGTGGTAAGGGCGGTCCAGGTGGGCATCATTCCAGATGCTCTGCTGGTACCAGTGGCTGTCACCTATGATGTGGTTCCGGATGCACCGTGTGAAATATACCATGTGAGAATGTGAGACCTTCCAGCCCCTTGGGCAGAGGCTGATAAGGCAAGGGGTCCCTAGGTGGACACCAGTTCCAGAGAGAAGGCACAATATTGTGTCCTGTGGCTGAGTCCCTCTTAGAGCTGCAGGGGCTTCAAAGGAATCATCCCTATAGTCATCTTACAGCACCTGCCAGGGCCATTACCATCTTCTCATTTCATCCTCTGAAGATCTTGATAGGGAGGGATTTTCCCTGTTTGATGAAGAAAAAAGGAACTTGGGGAGGGCAAGGTCATGTACCGGTGCGGCCTGAGATAAAATTGAGCAGGCTGGGACCTGAGGATACCCCTGGAGAGCAGGATGGGGTGGGCAGCCCTGATGTCCACCTGAGAGCAGTGCCCCCAGTCAGCCTGTACAGTTATCCTCTCCCTCCTTGCAGGCCTCAGCCCCCCTCGGGCTGTGGACAGGAGCTCTGGCTGTCCTGCGGAGCCTCTGCAGCCACTTGGGCTGCAGCCGTCAGATCTGCTCCCGGGTACACCTAGCTCAGCCCTTCTCCCTGCAGGTATGGAGCCAGCTGGGGATGGCTGGGAGTACCTGGGGGTCTGTCCTGGGCCTCCTGGCAGCCTGGCCCTCAAAGCCACTGCAGGGATAGCCTTGCCTACTTCCAGTGGGCTGTGGGCAAGTTTCCTGATTGGCCAGAGCAGGTCACTTAATAGCCTTGTCCTGGGCAGGAATACACCATCAGTGCCAGAAGCTGCTGGGGCAGCAGGCAGACCCTGGAGCAGCTACTGCAACCCATCGTGCTGGGCCAATGGTAGGGGCAAGGGAGCGTGCAGTCTCAGGGGCGAGGCAAGCAACCCGTCATGAGCATCAGCTTATGTATCCTCCATAGACACAAACACACTAGCAGCCGTCCCTCACCAAATATCCTGGGGTGATCTAGAATAGTTCCAGGCACTCGCCTTGCTAACAGTCTGAGTGTGGGAAATGGCACAGAGGCCTGGAAGGGGCTGGGGTTTATAAATGCTATCTTCCGTCCTGGGACTGGGATGGGGGATACACCCTCACCTTTCAGAAAGCCCTGGGCTTCCCCACAACTGTTTTTAGGTTGGTGCCTTCATTTTGTGATCTCTGTCTCTGTCCCAGTACTGCTGTCCCAGACACTGAGAAGGAGCAGGAGTGGACCCCTATAATTGGGCCCCTCCTGGCCCTCAAGGAAGAGGACCAGCTCCTGGTCAGGAGATTGAGCCATCATGTCCTGAGTGGTGAGGGTGAACCAGATCTGGGCCTTTGGGGGTGGGTCCCTGAACTGTCCCCTCTCTCTGGGTCAGCCAGTCTCCAGGGTCTTTCATTCCAAATGAGGGTCTGCACCTGAGCTGCCCTCCTTCTTTGGGACCTAGGGGACACTTGAAGAAGAATGCAGGAGGAGCAGGGCAGCCAGGGGCGGTATGAGGGAGCAGTTAATTGCATGGACACAGATGATGGCCCGAGCACAGGAGGCTGCAGCTGCTTCCCAAGGCCACACCCAGCCCTGCCTTCTGAGCAGTCTCCCTAGCTGTGGAT